CAAAAAACCCACATGAGCATGTAAACATACCTTCGTATCGTCTCTCCAGGTCTCTGACTATCATGGAGAGGTAGATGTGACTGGCGCAGAATAGAGCAGCGATCCAGCTCTCCTGGCTGAGATGGTCATCAGCAGCTAGTCTATAGGTCCGTAGCCCTGGTCCAGTGAACACCAGAGAGAAACAGAACTGACCGTCCGTCTCACACGCCTGCACCATGCATCCCTCCAGCACAATCACACCCAGCAGGTTACGATCACCCGGACGCTCCTGATAAAACAGCAGATTCCCCTTCAGCACAAACCAGCGGCGCAGGTACGTGGTGTTCCTCTCCCTCTGTGGGAAAGTAATACACAGTCATATTGATTATGATGTTTGAAGAGAATTATTTTTGATATAATTATTTAAACCAGGGGTGTCCAAACTTGATCCTGAAGGGCCGTAGTCCTGCAAAGTTTAGTTCCAACCCCAAGCAGACACACCTAGGCTAGCTAATCAAGCTCTTACTATACTTTCTAGAAACATACTTGCTGGTGCATTGAGGCAATTTGGAGCAGACTAACACAAGGAGTCATCATGCTGTTAATTTGTTTCTTTTAATGACAGCAATAAATGACTAAACAATTATTTGAACTGAACAAGCGTTAAGCTAAAATTTAACATTTATGTTTATATCTTTTTTTTATCTACAAAATGTGCAGCGTTTGTCACTGCAGTTTCTGGGCTTTTGGGAGATAGATATTTATATTAGTATACTTTTATACTTGACCTTTACTTAAGTATACTTTCTTTTTCCTAAGGGTGCATTTACTGACTTTTTGTATTGTATTGTATTGTTGCTCTGACAGCCAAGTTGGGTCAAAGCCATGCTCCGATCAGGCTTTTTGCAGTAGATACAGAGTAATGATTCCTTGTCATGGTGATCGGCTAATACTGAGCACGAATTCTAATGCTTCAAGCTTTATAATGCATTGAGCACATTTTCCCTCCAAGTAGGAACCTTAAGAGAAGATCTTGCCTAACCTATTGATAATAGACATGCACAATATTCAACTGTTTTTGTTTGTTTTTTAAAGGAATATTATATTATGCAGTCACGCACATGTTTTGACAGCAAATATGATGGTGATTTGATGGTTTGCAGAAGTTGCAGACACCTTTACTGATATCAAAATGCTTTTTTGATGCAAAATTAATTTAAATTCGCAGATAAGGAACCTTAAATAGGCCTAGGTTACTGTAATAAAAAAAATCTGCTAAAAAAATGTAAAACTAAATAAAATCGCTCAATATTCTTGACACATGAAAGTGTAAGCCTGCAACTCAAAACAAAGGTGTAAAGTTATTGCGTATCATATTTAACAAACCGAATTCTATGTAATTTTGCTCACATGGATAATTGAACATTAATCAGATGATGTCATTACGCTGCTCTGCCATCAGCCAATCATTGTTGATCATGATTTGGAGGATCAATAGACCCATCCTTTACAACACACGCAGTGATCTCAGATCAGCTCACCCTGACATTTTAACTTGTTTTAAGAACCAAATTAGCCTTAGATCAGTTATCAAGATTAACAAATCATCTTAAATCAATCAAGCGAGGTATGAAGAATGAACCATAGAATGTACCAAGTATTACGCAGTTTTACTAATCTGACATCTGACAACAGCCCAGGTACTTTTTCTCCCAAAAAGCACATCAATCACCAATGCAGTTTTTAAACTGTGCAATGTTAGAGTCAGCTTTTCATGCTAGTTTTCTAATGGTTTGTTCAAAATGGGGGAAAAAAAAATCTGCCTTTGGAGTGAAAATGATCCAGGCTGCCACATTTAAGGGTTGAGTATGGTCCTGGAGGACCACTAACACTGCATGTTTTGGATGTCTCCTTTGTCTGGCACATTTATTACAGGTTTTTCACTCTCTTCTAATGAGCTGATGACCTGAATCTAGTGTGTTTGGTTAAGGAGACACATAAAATGTGCAGAGCTGGTGGTCCTCCGGGAATGTGGTTGAGAATTTCTGGTATACACTCACCGGCCACTTTATTAGGTACACCTAATAAACTCCAACTGATAGAAAAATGCTGACCATGTCTATCCCTTAATGACCACAGTGTACCCATCTTCTGATGGCTACTTCCAGCAGGATAACATGCCATGTCATAAAGTGTGAATCATCTCAGACTGGTTTCTTAAGCATGGCAATGAGTTCACTGTACTCAAATGACCTCCAGAGTCACCAGATCTCAATCCAATAGAGCACCTTTAAGATGTGGGGGAGCAGGAGATTTGCATCATGGATGTGCAGCCGATCTGCAGCAACTGCGTGATGCTATCATGTCAATATCGATCAAAATCTCTGAGGATTATTTCCAGTAGCTTGTTGAATCTATGGCACGTAGGATAAAAGCAGTTCTGAAGGCAAAAGTGGGTTCAACCTGATACTCATTCATTTTCTTTTCAGCTTAGTCCCTTTATTAATCTGGGGTAGCCACAGCAGAATGAACCGCCAATTTATCCAGCATATGTTTTACACAGCAGATGCACTTCCAGCCACAACCCATCACTGAGAAACAGCCATACACTCTCATTCACACACACTCATACACTACAGTCAATTTTAGCCTACCCAATTCACCTGTACCACATGTCTTTGGACTCATGGGGGAAACCAGAGCACCCGAAAGAAACCCACTGTTAATTGACCCAGCCGAGGCTCGGACCAACAACCTTCTTGCTGTGAGGTGAACGTGCTACCCACTGCGCCACCGCGTCACCCCAACCCGATATTAGTAAGGTGTATACTAGTAAACCTAATAAAGTGGCCGGTGAGTGTAATGTACAGTTTTCCCTCCTGTTTTTCATAATGCTTCTTTGATGCAGAGGATGAAGAAATGGCTCCAATGTAGACTATTCTTGTGGCCTACCCCCTTTATTCATTTGAAGCTCTGGAGCAAGGATAGGGTCCTGTCCTGGAGGGCCAATATCCTGCAGAGTTTAGCTCCATTCCTCATTAAAAATACCAGAAAAACACAACCAATGTCTTTAGATTTGCTCAAATTACCAAAAGGTGTGCATGAGATAAAGCTAAACTCTGAAAGATAGTGGCACTCCAGGACCGGAGCTGTCCATTCAGCTGTGGAGTGTAAACCCTTTGAAGGTATTACTGAGTATGTTCAGTCCTGTTCCTGGAGATTACCAACCTGCAGAGTTCAGTTCCAGCCCTAACAAACACACCTGTCTTTAATGATCAAGTACAAAGCTTGTCGAAGGCAAACCTGCAGGCTGCAACCTACAGCCAAAAATGTGACACTTTGTTGGCATGCACTTGAAGAGACAAGAGGCCATTTTCTTAACGAATGTCAATGGAGGATATGGAAAAAACGAAAGTGAACATTTTAATCTCTTCGTGAAGGTTATGGTATTAGGTTATTTGACCCGAATGAAGTCCGCGATTCATGTATATTATTATGCCTCTTCAATATAGTTTAATAACAGGTGCGAAGTGCGTTTAATAGCCTATAGACAATTTATACATACGTTTTATACACAGCAGAGAAGAAAATATACACACATATCTGTTTTAATCATTGTACATGCGTGCAGTGTACATTTATTTGCAACATAATAACAGCAATCAATCACAGCCGCCTTGCCATGTCACGGTATCGTGGCAGGTAAGATAACGAGGTACACGTCGTCTTTCGTTGACTTCTCGTGTATTCCAGACGACCTAATGTTACAGTGCCCTTAAATCTGTCCAGATATGTGCGCAAGATCTGGGTATACAGGTCCTTACCTTTTTGTAGAGGTATCCCTCCTTATCTACAGGTGAAGTGCAGGACAGGTAATGGGTTAGAATCTTCTTATGGATCTTCATTACACCGCCACCTGGCGTGCAGCCGTGTCCTAGCACGAGCACAGGGACGCGAGGTGAAACATACAATAAACTATAGGATTTACACGTCTCCTTTTATTACTTGTATTCTTCATTTAAGCTAAAAATTTGAAAATTACATATTTATTCGAGATATTTTGTTTTAAGCAAAAACAAAACAGAAATCTAATTATGACTAAGCAGGAAAAACCGGTCTATCCGGCTTACGCAGTCTGTCAGAAGGGCACGTAAATAGTGTGCATCCCACTAAACATCTGTGTATGCTTTCTAAAATGACAGACGAGAAAACTGGCAGATAATGGTGACCCGGAACAGTGACAGACCGACTCTATATTTGTCAGGTGCACCAACTTACTTGTCAGTGTCCTTCCGTTGATTTACCCCTGGTATCCATACAACCTTAGTGGCACACACATCAATTCGGGTCAAGCGCCCCAGCCCCGCTCATCCTCGCATGATGAAGATCGGGAGGATATTATAAGTTTCGTATTACCAGCGCGCGCGCTCACGCCGGTCTCACAAGTGTTGAAATATAAATAACGCGACCCACTTCCTGGTAACAAAAGCTGATCCCCTATTCTTTTCAGACTTCATGATGAAACGACAGAGACATGTGCGCGTTTAACAACAGATATAATCAATAAAATAAGAGGGGAGTAAATCATTATACATAATTAGAGATACTCTGTGCATAATTTATAAATGTTTCTAATTTAGGCTCTGATCAAATATTTACTAAGTTAGACAGATCAAAGCAGACAACAGTGCATTTGCTTGGTGGAGGCTGCTGGACGGTTGTTTTGCTCTGCATCTTCAATGTATTTCCTGCATTTAATATTTTGCATGACATTTTACAATGAAATTCTCTCTCAAAGTCTAAAGTGAAGCATAGGTCAAATATTTGTTTGGAAATAACAAGACAGACATTTGAAAGCGTAAATCAGGAAGGTGTCTGTACTACAGTAGGTAACATTTTCTGGCAATGTGGCAAATCAAGTGATGTACGTGAGGCAAGACGTGAGGTCACTGAAGCGTTGGACGTCATTCTCTTGGCTCCCCTCTAGGTGGCGATAGAGGATTGGCTAGATTTACAGGAGTGACGACGTTCCGGTTGTAGTTTTGCTTGAATGGCGCAGCGGGGAGAATAACATTAAGGTAACTTGCTGCCTTCTCTCATCATGTGTTTGATTTATTAGCGTCGGATTATATCCGAGCAGTCCATAAAGACGGTGTCTAGGTGGAGCTAAAGTTAGTTATGTATAGCTTTTGTGTACGTTAACAAACTGCCACAGGCGACACACGTAACGTTACGCTCATTAGCTCGGGCTCCAGCGCTGCTGAAATTGTTCAACAAATAAATATGATACTTGACCAACATATCTGAATGAATCCCCAATGGAGCAACTGCCAAAATACAAAATATGTACCCTACGTATTATGTGTATTCTAATTAGGCCTATCATTTCTGCACATTTCATCGTAGATGTAGCAAACTGTGTAGGTACGCAGTTAAGTTACCTCAAGTCAGTGTTATAAAGAAGTTATATCCTGTGTTTCAGTCTGCAATTAATTATTAGCATCATGCTGAGAATATTAAATGTTTGAGTATTGTGCAAGTTAAACCATATGTCTGTAACGTTACACTAGGCATGGGCTGATATAAGATTCTCATGGTAGGATAACCTTGTATAAATTAATCACGGTTTCACAGTATTGTGATTACTGCTCCAATATATATATATATATATATATATATATATATATATATATATATATATATATATATATATATATATATATATATATATATATATATATTAAATGTCTGGGTAAAAAACAACTAATATTTTCCTCCTTTAAACACAATATATTTCATTTTGATAAACATTTATAAGATATTGAAACACTAAGCATGTCAGGCTAAATAATTCAAATGAATCTTTGAGTTCTGCTGACTTCATTAGTTTCAAAAACACTGATTTCTTTACTATTTAAAACTGCATCTTTTGATATTTTTTTCTGCTGGAGATACTGTTGTTATGAAAAACAACAACAAAAAAATCTTACACATGTTAGGAACGATATCGCAGAAAATTTTGGCCGTTTTAAAACATTCACTTTTCCAAACTGCGGTATAGCTTGACGGAAATCATCCCATGTCTGTGTATACACACACCATAACTATGTTGGCTCACACAGGCAATTGTGTCTCTTAGCATGTCGAAAAGGAAAGTGACGTTTCAGGATGGAGATAGTGAGATTACTTTGGAAGAAGAGATTCCGAAGAAAAAGGTTAGTGACATGTAACTATATATCCATGTACAGTGCTCAGCATATATCTAACAAAGTATATTACGATAACAAATATATAAAAGAGGAAAACAGTAGTTTTAGTAGTTTTTGCCATATTTTGCTTGAATTTAATTGTATTATCTTCCCATTTCTAAATATGTTTGGTGACTAAAATATAATTTATATATATATATATATATATATATATATATATATATATATATATATATATATATATATGTATATGTATGTATGTATGTATGTATGTATGTATGCATATCTGTTTAATAAATCTGTTTTGTTTAAATGCACCAAAATACATTGACTATATTTACTGAGAAATGGAGAAAAATTCTCATTTTTAAAATGGGCTGTACTCGATTATGCTGAGCTCTGTATCTGTTGTTTGTGTTTTGCTAATAAAATACATTTCTCATGGTCTGTTTGGTTTATTCCATGACTATTTAAAGATGGTTGATGGTTTGACTGGCCCAGGATCCAGATTTAAGGAAAAACACTCTTTGGACAGTGATGAGGAAGACGAAGTAGAGGATGTAGACAATAGCAGTAAATATGACATCCTGGCCAGCGATGATGTGGAAGGTCAGTGAAGAATTAAACAGTGCAGTTTATGTAATTAATACATGTTACTGAATAGTTATTTCTCTTTCTTTTTCCCTACTCGTATAGGTTTGTAGTACCTTTTTTGTTTTGTTTGTGAAGACCCCAGTATACTAAGAATATGAAAATATGTGATGTGTGTTTTTCTCGTTAACAAAATAAGTGTAAAACTAAATAATGACAGTTATTTGCTCAATGTTCTAAAATATTCCAAATTGATATGTAGATAAATTATTTATATAGAGATGTAACTAGAGTTTTTTTAAGTCAAAGAAAACTACCAAATATCTAATCACCATATAACAATGATAGTATGAAGGTGTTGATCAGCTGAAGCGACCTGGAATGTTTGCTTGGACAAGTTGCCTTGAACTTTAGTAACGATTTCACTTGAAGTATATTGGGGCCTTAAGGAATAAAGTGCTTTGAAACTGTTATTCAGAAAATGATTACTGGGGCATATTTAAGTAAACGTATACAACATATCTTAGGTTTCTCTCCACATCCTTATTTTAAGTTCTGTGAAAAGGAGCATCCAGATACTTTTTTTACATATGATGTGGCATCCCAAAACCTTTGGGATTCTGAGCTGGAAACTTTATTAAAGTTACAAAAATGTGTTTCCCGAAAGATCCTGTACTGTTATTGTTAAATGATAACTCTCAATTTCCCTTAGATGCAAAGGTCTGTAAGTTGTGGTTAGCTGCTTCAACTGCTACAAAGAAAATGTTGGTACAGAGGTGGAAACCCCCTCATGATCTTTCTGTTAAGCACTGGTTACAGTCACTATTGTAAATACTGTACCAAGAACTGTCATCAGCACGGATCAACTATGCTAAACTTGACATTTTGACAGTGTGGAAAAATCTGTGTGATAGTAAAGAAGTCTTAGACACTTAACCCTCATGTGATAATATGAACATCAAATTTAATGTAATTTATTTGTGTGTCTAAACTACAGCTCTCCTGTGTTTCCTGATGTGCACATAGTAGTAAAATATTTTTCTGTTTGATTGTAAAAATTGTATGTTTTATTTTTTGGAAATAAAAACGGAATTACAACAAAAAAAATATTACTGAAAATAAAATTGGTCGTATTTTTGTTTACAGGTCAGGAAGGGGCGACCATTGACTATGATGAGGGTGTACGCATCACTCCTTTTAACCTTGATGAGGAAATGCAGGAGGGACACTTTGATTCAGAGGGAAACTATTTCGTTAACAAAGAGAAAGATATCAGGGACAACTGGCTGGATAACATTGACTGGGTACGTTTTAATGCAAGAATTATTTTAAAAAGTTCCTCTCCATTTTTTTAGACCATAAACTGAAAGTAAAATTTTTATCATTTAATATGTTCTGTGACTTAAAGTCTAAAAGGACTTATTTTACAAGCAATCAGAGGGTGTAAAGTGCACACATTTTTCTTTGTACCAATGATAGGCATGTAATTATTTTTATAGCATTTAAGGATTAATGGGATATAGAATAAATTTTTAATACACATTTTATAAATGGAAATGTGGCCACTTCATCTGATATTGCTTTAGGCAGTAAGGATGAAATGACCTCAGTTTATATAAAAATGGATTTCTCATCTATTTCTACATCTAAGGTTTATAAAGCTTTGATAAGTCTAGATTGTAAAACATTTGCTGACCTGGATCAAAAAGAACCTTTTTTTTAATATCTGCAGACTTAATAGCAAGACCCATTGCTTCAATTTTTAATCTGAGTTTAACTAGTGGTCTGTTACCAAGTTCTTGGAAAACAGCAAATATACAGCCATGCTGAAGAGTGGAGATCCCACTAAGTTAGATAATTATATCATCCTATTTCAAGGTTGTCTGTTACAGCTAAAGTTTTTGAGTCTGTGGTAAATGAACAGTTAGTGGTAATTGTCAGCAAATAATATTTTATGTCAAACTCTGTCAGGTTTTATAGAGGGGCACAGCACTATAACTGCTGCAGTGTCAGTTGTCTAATGATATAATCACTGCACTGGATGATAAAAAAAATAATGTGCTGCACTTTTATAGATTTATTAAAAGCTTTTGATTCTGTGAACCGTGATATTTTGTTGCAATGACTAAGATGTACAGGGTTTAGTACAAAAGTGTTGAAATGTTTCCACAATTATTTGACTGAAAGAACTCAGTGTGTTTCCATAGAAATTTATATCTCTGCTCCTTTAACAGGAAAGACAGGTGTTCCCCAAGGCTCAATTTTGGGGCCAATTTTATTCTCTATTAATTGAAATGAACTTGGTAATGCTGTTGAGTCAGCAAATGTACACTTTTATGCAGACGAAATTATGATTATGATGCAGACAATTATTTACTCTATGGCTTCATCTATAAAAATGGCAATAGACTCCTTACAAAATGCTTTTTTATTAATTCCAAATGCCTCTAATTTGTTGGAGTACTGTTTAAATACTTGCAATACCAGATCAGCAGATATACTCTTACTAAAGATGACATTTTTTCACACAGAGTTAGGTCGATCTATGAAATGAGCTTCAACATATACTACATAGGAAATCTGTACCATCTGTCATTATATTTAAAAAAATATTTTAAAGACTGTCAATTTAGAACACTGCACATTTTTTAACAATTGATTATGGTTTATACTTTTTTGTGTGTGTCTATGTGTTGTGACATGCATTTCTTTTTTATTTTTTGTTACTTTGCTTTCAGGGCCAGGACTCACCGGTAGAAGTGATACTTTATCTCAATAGGACATTCCTGGTTAAATAAATAAATAAAATAGTTCAAGCTTGATGGATAAACTAAATGTTGTTTATAGTGATTGTCACAGAAACCTGTTTGTCTTGTACTTTGGTCTTTCATTCTTTTTTGGTCTGAAAATTAATGAACTTAAAAGTTTTTTTGTTGATTGAGGGGAAATTAAAGTGCATTTGTGAAGTCTTTTAAAGTTTTTATTTTAGAATTTTTTCTGAATTGTTATGAAGTGATACCCATACGCAAATGCACCTTAACTCTTTCTTAATCTTAATTTTTTTCCTAACAATGCATTTTCATGTGACTTATTTTCCATAAAATACAGTAAAAAATCTTTTTCCTAAAACTGATGTAGCTTGATTACTCTTCATGTCCTCACACAGGTGAAGGTAAAAGAGCAGCCTGTGAAAAAGAAGAAAGGCCTTGCAGCTAAGAGGAAGAGAAGAGTTGGTGATGAAGATGAGGCTGAGGAGGAGATAAAACGAGAGGAGCAGAGGAATGACAGTGAAGATGAGGAGGAAGAGAAAGAGAAAGAGCCGGCAGAAGACCCTCTGGCTGCATACAGTCATTATCAACTCACAGAAGCCATCATTGAGCTGCTACTGCCCGGAGAAACTGTGTCTGCTGCTCTAAGAAGACTTGGTGGTCTTGGAGGACAGAAGAAGAAAGGAAGACAAAGAAATGGAGAGGAAGAGAAAAAGGAGGCTTCAAACAGAGATGCCGATAAACTTGACAAACTGACAGCATTGGCAGATAGACTGGTGGGCATTGGAGAGTTTGAAATCTATCAGCAGACATATGAAAAACTGGCCTACCAGCTGAAGGGGATGACTAGAGGAAAAGCAGCCAAAACACTAGGGGATGAAGAGGAGGATAAAGATGAGCTTGACATGTTTGGTGATGACTTTGATGAGAAGCATGATGCGGATAAAAATGAGGATAATGATAACAGGAAAGGTGAGGGGCTAGGTGAAGGTTTGGTGTTTAACAGAGTCGAGTTAAGATGCATTTTAAATGGACATTGTGTTGATTTTATTTTTTATTTTTTTGTGGTTTTATCTTCACAGTTAATTTAGTCTAGTCCAGTTGCAAACTCATATTTTATGATTATTTGTTTCCTGGCTAATCCATTAGTAATAGCATTCTGTAAAATGTATATGTTGTTTTCCAGTGAGTGATGAGGTCATGTGGGAGTACAAGTGGGAAAATAAGGAAAGCTCTGAGCTCTACGGACCCTTCAGCAGCCAACAAATGCAGGTAAGAGATCGGAGACAACTCGTGGCTCTCTGGAGCCCTATGCAAGTGACTGCAGAAGGGGGATGGGCGACCCATACTAAAGAGTGGTGGCAAGTTGGGTGGGGGGTTGGCCTTCCATAATGTGTATCGGCTTGTGAAGTCGTGATGTATGGAGTACTGTTTCCGGGTCCAAGCCGCTACTCATTTAAATTGAGAACATTTCCATTTATTGCCACCTTTTTGTCATATCACAAATTAAAGTGATTTTAATATAAAATCATGGTGTAGACAACAGTCTCTGGACTTGCTGCATCACATATACCAAAATTTTAACAATTTATAAAAAATAGTCACTTTCTGGCCATCAGATATTAGGCATGAATATATACATTGCAATCGTGATTTTCGAAAGTTTCTCATCGCTTTGTAAACGTTTATTATTACCATTTGTTGAGTCTCCCCATATAGTTTGATAGAGCCCTTGGACCCAGAAACCGCTTCACATGACTTCACATTTAACAAGTGGATAGGGCGGATCAGTACTGTAATGGCCCGTTTCCGCTGAGTACAGTACAGTATGGTTCGGTTTAGTACGCTTTTATGGCCATTTCCATTGTCAAAATGTATCTGAAAGCTAACTGTACCGTCTGACTTTTTGGGTATGCTTTGCTTAGGTTACCTAGCACAACAAAAGATTGGTTTACAGAGATACGTCACTTGCTTGTGCAACAAGCCAGGTGAAGGAAAACAAAGGCAATTTTTAAAAACACAGCTGAGACATTATTATTACATATTTACATATAATCACAAGCCATGGTTGACCTGAGCTCAAACAAACCTTGTCGTTGTCTTGATGAACAGCCACAAAGCCAAGAAAAAGAGCAGAATCTACCCTGTGCCCCATTGCTGTTTCCAAGGCCGGCTAAAGCGTGAGCGGTTTCTCTTTCCTGCGCGCATATATTTCAAATAACGAACTTCTTGGGCTGATGATAATAACTTGCACAGGATTATTAAAGTGCTTCTGACATCCGATTCTTTCAGAGACTTGCGCGTGAAAAAACAAAGGAGAAAATTATTTTTTTTAGCAACCTTAAACATAAACAGCAATGTATAACTATTATCATCACCATTTGGACTATTATGAACTCAGGAATGACGGATTTACTTTCTAACAAGAGGTTACATGTGCTGGTAAAAAATAAAGAGACAGATGAGAAGTTTGCTCTGACTGTGAGCTATATGTTGCCTGTTTTTGAAGCCAAATAAGGACTAAATATATGCTGTGTGTAGTTTTTCCGTAATTGATAATAAATCGGAGAGTGTAATGGGCTGTGTATGTTCACATACAGTTGAAGTCATAACTATTAGCCCCCCTGTTTACTTTTCCCACAAATTTCTGTTTAACAGAGAGATTTTTTTCAGCACATTTCGGAACATATTAGCTTTAATAATTCATTTCTAATAACTGATTTATTTTTATCTTTGCCATGATGACAGTAAATAATATTAGACTAGATATTTTTCAAGACACATCTATACAACTTAAAGTGACATTTAAAGGCTTAACTAGGTTATTTAGGTTAACTAGGCAGTTTAGGGTAATTAGGCAAGTTATTGTATAATGATGGTTTGTTCTGTAGACTATCGAAAAATATATAGCTTAAAGGGGCTAATAATTATTACCTTAAAATGGTTCATTAAAAAAATGTTAACTTTTTTATTCTAGTTGAACTAAAACAAACAAGACTTTCTTCAGAAGAAAAAATATTATCAGACATACTGTGAAAATTTTCTTGCTCTGTTAAACATCATTTGGGAAATATAAAAAAAATTAAAAGAGAAGTAATTCTGACTTAAACTGTATGTTGCATTTATTTATTTTATATAATTGCAGACGTTGGGTATGCTAAATTGTCCATAGTGTATGAGTGTGTGTGTGGATGTTTCCCAGAGATGGGTTGCGGCTGGAAGGGCATCCACTGCGTAAAAACTTGCTAGATAAGTTGGCGGTTCATTCCGCTGTGGCGACCCCGGATTAATAAAGGGACTAAGCCGACAAGAAAATGAATGAATGAATTGCAGATGTTACAGTAGGCTGTTTCGCTATCATTGATCTGCAGTTATAATCAAATCTTGTTCATAGAAAGGTTAGTAATGAACTTTTATACACAAGCATTAATGTGTATAAAGCATCTGTTTTGTTAGAAGTGCTTCTCATATGACATGTGAATGACCAGTACAGATTTACTTTGACATTTTCTCGAGTGAAAATGACGTCGACTGAAGCTTTCTGTCGTACATCACGCCCACCAAAAGTACCATTGGTACGCTTTTAGCAGTGGAAATGCAAGCCTCTTAGGGCCTACTCACACTATGCCATCCGTACCGTGCCCAGGGCCCCAGGCCTGTTTCCCGGATCGTTTGAAAAGTGTGTGCGCGCTGAATCGGGCTCAAGCAAGGTTCACTTGGCTGGCCCTGGCCCGGTTGGAAGAGATGTGCAAGAGGGCTTTGTGATTGTTTATGAGTGCCAAAAGTGGCGGATCTGTTTGGCAAAATATCTAACTGCGTGTCACTGTATATCAAACGACTGAAACGATATAACTAGAGAAATCTCCACTGTGCTGCTGAGTGAGAGAGCGCTTCTCACTGAACAGCGCAGCAGCGATGACGTAAGCGTGCCGAAGCCCGTTTGTGGTGTGAGTGCGGGCCGTCGGGGGAGACGGGAGGGGGGACAAGCGTGCTTTGGCCCGGTTCGAGGCAACTGTACCTAGTGTGAGTACGGCCATAAAGGTGACCCGTACCGCACCTTCCTGTACCAGTCAATGAAAATGAATGTTTGAATGAATGATCTTGAATGGCCATCCCAGTTTCCATACTTGAGCATCACCTAAAATCTATGGATTGATTTAAAAAGGGCACTTCATGCTCGGCACCCATCAAACCTGACTGAACTGGAGAAATTTTGCCAGGAAGAATGGCCCAAAATGCCTTCAGAAAGAAATCAGGGACTTATCCTTGGAAAATGATCAGGGGTGGTCAAACTTTTGCATAAAATTATATATATATATATATATATATATATATATATATATATATATATATATATATAAGCATGTATGAATATATATGTATATATTTATATATATATATGTATATATGTATGTATGTATGTATGTATGCGTGTGTGTGTGTGTGTGTGTGTTTGTGTATATGTGTGTGTGTGTGTGTGTGTATGTATGTATATATGTATATATATATATATATATATATATATATATATATATATATATATATATATATAAGCATGTATGAATATGTATGTATATATTTATATATATATATATGTGTGTATATATATATATATATATATGTGTGTATATATATATATATATATATATATATATATATATATATATATATATATATATATATATATATGTATATATGTATATATGTATGTATGTATGTATGCGTGTGTGTGTGTGTTTGTGTATATATGTGTGTGTGTGTGTATATATATATATATATATATATATATATATAGTAGTGTGTTTGTGTATGTGTTGGTTTTTATTTGTTAAAATGTTAACTACAACCAAACTGTAATCAATTGTGGCAGATTCTGTATTTATCTGATTATGAAATGGTCTGTCACAGAATATGTAGTTAAAACAATGGCATAATCATCCAAAATTAGACAGGCAGAGCAGTTTTGAAAGCTGATCTAATTTGGCAGCCTTGCTCTGTTTTATTCCAGGACTGGGTGGATGAGGGCTACTTCAATGATGGAGTCTACTGCAGGAGGATTGACCAGGAAGGCGCTTCATTCTACAACTCAAAGAGGATAGACTTCGATCTTTACACATGAACTGTCTATAAATCATTTTACTGGTTTTATTTGATTTCTTCAGCCCTTTCGAGAGAGCCTTTCTGAGCAATTGTTTACTCTGCAATAATTGACTTGTGTGCCCACACACATTGGTATGTGCACCTGTGTTTATACGTGATGTTGTTTTAAAATAAAGTCTTTTCTGGCTGGATCCAATCTGCTGTATTGTTCAATGCCACATATATATTCTGAATCACGCACTTCTAATACGTGCAGTGGATTTTTTTCAGTTTACAATTTTACAAAGCAGTGGCGTTCAGTATGCAAACCGCGCGGTCTATCTGCATACACATGAGCCAATGAAAACACTTCAGTTCATATCAGGACAAAGACGACTGTTTGGCGGATCGCTATTGGTTGCATTTCTCCCTCCTGAATCTCGATTGGCCAGAACGTTGTGGCTGCACGTTTCTAATTGGCTGTCATTTTAGACTCTACCCGACAGGCGGGCCGTTCACATACTATGCGAGGTTGTGATTGGTTCTTCGCCAGACCGGGAACACGGCCGCACCGAATGATAGGTCTGAACTCTCGGTGCAATGGTGAAACTCGGGCGCCGTCCGGCATGGAAATGTCACACAAACATCGGTGTTTTGAAAACAACGCGTAAAGGAGATGTTTACGCCGCCTCACTGCACTTTTCCCCTCATACGATTTTAGGTTTGTATGCACTTTATTTACGTCACGTGCCTGTGTGAGAAGTACGAGAGAGTAAAATAAAATATGAACGCAGTATGTTTTACTGGTTTATGCGTAGATAGCAGCTTAGCTCTGTTAGCCGCCGCAATTTACGTCGACGACGTACACAAAACCACACCAGTGTCTGGAAACTTAGATTTCTAGACAAGCGCCCGAGGGACACATTTCAGCGCCGTTACCTCTGTGGAATTAAAATATTGTAATATTCAGTGTTGAGAGACTTCTGGTGGTAATCCGTTTAACCGTAGTTATGGCTTTCGGCTGAAGTCTATTTTGGCGATATGAGACCGCTGTTTTTGATCTTCTGTCTGTACAGAAGTGCTCAATATCGGGTCGATTAGCAAACTATAGCCTACATGTTGCAAAATTACGATTACATTTGTTTTCATCGTATCTAAAATATTTCTGAATTGTTACTTGGTTATCATATACCAAGCAAAACATTAGGGGAATACCAGCTGTACCGATAATGCGAAGGCTCTTGATAAACGATGATGGTATGATGTACTACTGAAAGCGAATCCATGACAACAGAACTATTTACTTTAATCAATCGCAGCCAGGGCTTTCTGTTTTTGTTTCCACTCTGTCTGTCTTTATTATTGTGTGTAAACAACGCGTTATTTGTCTTGCTACTACATGTGTTTACTAATTTGTCTGGATGCTTATTGAGAGACTAATTGATGGACAAGTCAGCAAATGATTAAAATACGCGATTTAAATACTTGCACCCAAAATGCTTTCATCTGTTCTTATGCCATTCAGTGGTCCAGAAGAAACGATGGGAATAATTCAGTACCGTGTATTACAGCACAAACCTTTTTACCTAAATTAATAGTTAATTTACTACCATTAAAATAACATTTTTGTTATAATCAATATCTGGGACATTCTACCAGAAACGTACATTATCTGCCCTGCAATAAAAACATAAATACAGTGAATAAAAATATTTCATACAAAAAAAAAAGATATTTAAAATGGACTGATGGTTGATTTCTGTGAGTTGTTCTGTAAAGCAATATGTCATTCATTTGGTTCTCAGATCAGATTTTTTTGTCGTTATTAAAAACACTTTACACTGTACACAACTTGTCCTCAGCTCAATTGAACCTAGAGCTTTAATACTTTTGTTTTGCTAAAAAAACAGCTTTTAGAAAAAAACAGAAATAACAAGTTTAGGTTGTTATCATTCACATCAATTGATTAAAAGCATGAAATTATAAATAAATCCTACAAATATATAATACAAATAAATGCATAATGATCCCCTTATTTATTTTCATCCTGTTACATTTGCATTAAATTTAACATGCAATGCGTGCATTACATGTTTAAGGCTATGACTCGAAAGTGACATCGTTTAACTGAGAAGAAGCTGAGCGTGATCAAGGATGCTCTCTATCATTGAATTGTATGATTTTATGCTTGTTTTTGTATAAATTTTTTTAAAAGCTTAAGTCAAGCCCTGCCACTTTTTTTATAAGTGAAAATATACGTTTCTGGTAGAATGTCCCTTCTGGATTAGATTTCCCTTTCATTTTAAATCTTAAGGGTGTGAGTGTATATTATTTAAAAATTTAAATGTAATTTGTTTATAGTTTAAAATTTACTTAAATACGTTTATGTGAGTCAAGTTAAAGCTAGTGAAAATGAGACATACTGACTTTAAAATATGTATAACTAGTTTTGGTGAACTGTAACAACTGCCTTTAAGGGCAGCAAAATATGATTTTATATATATATTTTTTGACTCCCTAAAATTAAAGATAGTTCTCTTACAGATTGTTGCATTGTTACAGCCCTGTATGGTGTTCATAAATAAAGATAATTTGCAAAATGGCTTTCTTTTATCTTACTAGGGAATTGATTTGACCGTTATTGCACAATATAATTACTAAAAGATCACAGTCTTATTAGTTTATTAAGTTGATTAAATTAAGTTTAAAAGGGCATCCTTTTTAAATTCTAATTAATCAGACCATCAGTTTTGTTCATATTGAAGTACTAAACAATAGCTTTGTAGCTAAAAGAGAACGTTCAGTACACTGTAAAATAAATTAACAGGTTCTGCATTTTGGGTTTTCTGTTTATTTACATTTGTGAATTGCATTATATGGTCTTGATCTCTGTCAACTTTTGATGTTGAAATTTCAACTTTACAGTTTAACAAAGTGACTTTTGTTGACATTTTAGTAGTTTGAAATAATATAATGTATAAGAAATAATATATAAATAAACGAATCTTTAAAATAACCAAACATGTTTTGGCAGTTTATTACAAGGTTTATGCAGCATAAAAAACAACACAGACCCAGACAAGGTATCACCTTTAAACTATTAAAAATTTTCATACAACATCAATTTTTCCAACTTTTTTATTTTAAAAGTTGTCAGAAGAAAGAAAGGTCTCATAATGCAATTCAAAAGCATAAAAAAGATAAATAACATGAATCACAAAATACAGAAAACTGTCGATTTACGGATATTTTTTAACCATGTAAAACATCAAAACAATTTTTTAAGTGAATAAAAGTTGGTGTTTGGGGATTCATAAACTGTCAGTGACTACCTGCACTGTCAAAAACACAGGCAAAGCTAAATAAATAAATATTATGACTGCAATGCATTAAAGTCTTTTCAAGTGAAATGATTCTTTGCAAGAAACTGAACATCATTTAAAACATTGGGTGTAAGCAGCAACCTTTTTTTTTAAATAGGAAACAGGAAAGAGACTCAAAGATGAGACTCAGTCATCACAGCCTCAACACTTGAGTTCATTCCCATGCAAGAGACGAAAACATGGTAAGGTCCCGCTGTTTTTCCATTCTTCAGCATGTCTTTCACTTTTCTCCTTTTTCATTGAATCATAATTAACGTATTAATCCAGAAGCAAGTCTTAATAAATTTGCTCAAGCTGATACATGTTGCAGAGCAGTAGTAAAGAATGGGTTGCTTGCAGTATACAGTTTACTACACCATTCGATGCATTACTCATATTCTGATGTTGTTGTTATAGGAGTCAGACAAACAATAGAACTGACAGGACACACCTTTGTGAGACATTCAGAAGGAAAAAAATGCAAAAAGGTAGACAGCGAGGAATGCTCAAAGCCAATAGCAATCTTGCTTGGGTTAGTTTTGCCACTAGTTAACGCACTGGTTCTGTGAATCACCGGACTCCAGTAAGGGCTGCATGATATTAGAAGTCTAATATTGCAGTATTTTGTTTTTCTGAAGAAAGAGGACTCTTAAAATAATACATCAACAAAGTTTAATTCATGACCTTACACAAAACACAATTTGTGAATTTACAAGTAAAAAAACTAATATTTCCTCAAATGATTTCAAATGGTTTCCATTTATGAGTTGTGCTTTGAATTTTAGAATTGTATTTGCGAATTGACAAAGTGTTTTGAATTTACAGTTTGGATTTGCCCATTTATAAATTGTGTTTTGAATTTAGAAATTGTGTTTTGTGTATTTATGAATTAAATTCTGTAAATATTATTTTTGAGAGGGAAGTGCATTTGCATAAAATGTAATAATCTACTAGCATAGATAAAGTAAAAGATACAAATCAAATAAACATTTGATAGTTATTTTTTCTGAGGATTCTAACAGTATTCAGGTAAATAGCAATTGAATAACAAAGTGTAAACTAACACTGCATAGTTATCTTGGTAGAAAGAAATCAATAAAACCAATTGTTTTTAAATTTAGAAACCGTTCTCATATGCAAGAATGCTTTAAATATCCTTATACAGTCACAGGCCTCAAAAACACATGCAAATAACTTATGAATTATAATCCAGACTCCAGATCCTGCAATGTGTCTATTGCCCATGGGCACATTTTGATATAGATGCTGAAACAACATATTGTGCAGCCTTAACTGCAGTTATTTTTGTTCTCTACATGATGGCAGAGAATCCCCTCAAACTCTCAATTTATTTAATTTGGTCTAATAACAAATTTACTTGTAGTTACTCACTCGACTTTTAAAAAGATGTCAATATTAAAAAAAATAAAAATTTTAATGATAGGTTAGGAAAAAAAGAGACCTGTTGTGTTTATATCACTTTAATATGACTATGCACACTATACTAACACTATACTATGTTTAAAAAAAATGAACTATCTCTCTTTGGTGTGGACATTGAAATTTGTAACATTTTCATGCCCAATTGTACACACTACACTACATGCTAACTAAAATCCAAAAGTGAAAAAAACATAATTGGACCCCTTTAAATGTTTTTTTTTTCTCCTTCGTTTTTTTCTTGATACAGACAAGCTCTGCAGTTGAAGCTGAGATGGAGGAAGAATATTCAGAGTGAGTGATGCTGGGCCAAATGGACAATAAAAATCTTGAATCCTTTTCCAGCAATCATGTTTTAAATGTCTTTTGTGTCTTTATTTTAGGGATGAATGCCACAAACTGGCATCACC